ATCCATCCATCCATCCATCCATCCATCCATCCATCCATCCATCCATGTACCCATCCACTTAAAAAGTGTCAAACCCTATAGTAAACATTAAACACAAAATGATGAATCCTGGACTTTGCTCCAGCTTCAGTTGCTTACTCCACAGTACAGAATAAAGACAGATCCTGTGGCAGCAAAGGTCATTCTGAGAGGAAATGATGTTTAATGTAACAGAAGAAGGATAAGCAGAAGGTAGGCAAGAGGAGGGTGAAAGAATGCTTCAGAGCATAGCAAGGCTCAAGAAAAGTACTTTCCAAAGGCAGGAGATGAGGCCAGATAGAAGTACATTAAAGAAATCATAGTGAACCTTGTATACCATGGCAGGGTAGGATCTAATTCTGAGGTCAAATCTGAGTGCAAGAGTCAATGAAACTTTTCAGCAAGAGAGACATTCATTGTCTTTAATTGTAGGGGAAGGACTCTAGATTATGTCAGCTAAATTGGAGTGGGTAGACTGGAAGCAGGGGGAACAGGATGAAGAGCATTAGAGGTAGCCTGGGCCTTATTTAGGGATATTTAGGGATAGAATTAAAAAGACCTCATGGTTAATAAGAAATAGAAAACTGGGCATGAAATCCCAGTGCTTGGGAGGCTGAGATGGGAGAATCACTATGAGTCTGAGCTGCTTTCCAAGTAAATAAATAAATAAATAAATATTAAATATTTTTAAAACTTAAAAAAGAGAGTTCAAAGTATTAATAAAAGTACTATGAATAACTTGTACAAAGAACTCTAACCTCTTTATGTACCTTATCTAATTTCATCATCACACAATCTATAGAGCAAGTCCTATTATTATCTTCTTTTCAGGTGAATGATCTCAGGTACAAAGATACTAGACCATGTGATTGAGCTCACACACCAAGAGGGAGAAGTGGGGTGGAGCTCAGTAGCTTACTACCAGAGTCTACATTGTTCATCACCAAGTGAGACCAGGTCAGGAAGGTCAGCAGCACCCACTCCCAGCCCGGAGGCATTTCTGCCCAACTCTCTTTCAGCATTTCTAAGGGGATGCAGAAATTTTGGCTATGTATGTCATGGTTGGAACCTCTCAGCAGGACATGGTGAATGCTTATTGGCAAAGTTGTCTCTATACCAAGTTTCTAATTTTCCTTAGAAGAGGCCATCTGCTTTAGTGGGCTATGCTAGAATTAGTTGTGGTTCTGTTTCAATAACCAATCATCAATTCCAGTTCAAGGAATAATAGCCCCCATTTCAAAGAACTCTTTTAGGAATGGGGCTGAGGCTAGAAACTATCAAGTCAGAAACAACTTCTCTTTCTCTCTCAGTTTCCACAGCCCTTTGTCATTGCTTCTTCCACCATTTTAGTGCTTCTCATACTTTTTTCCATAAACAGCTATGTCTGCTATTCTCAATGTGCTTATAACTAAAGATGATTTCAAGTTCGAAATCCATGCCATTAATAACCAGTCTTGATCTTTTATATCTGTCCTTAGAATAAATTCTAATGTAAAGCAGCTCATTGGTCTACATTCAGGGCCATAAATAAAGTTCAGGCTGTATAAAACACATGCTTTTATTATTTTCTCTGCTATCCACAAGTCTTTCTTCATGCATTTCCATTTTGTTTTAAAAAATAAAATTCAATAAGAAAGAACATTGGACAGCTAAGTACTTTGCAGTTCTGCGTACCTTTGGCACCTTAGGTGTGTAGTCAGCTATGTGGTCACAATAAACTGGCTCCTTCAGAATATACTGCAAAAATATCATGACATTTTATGGGATTATATAGATTCTGAATGTTTGTAAGGCTCAGCTGTAAAATAGCTTAAGTTCTACTTTCTCTTCTGGTAGCAGAAATTGTGTTCATGTCATTAGACAAATGATCTGAATTTCTGTGGGAAATTTCCCTCAAATCTGTGGTCTCTTAGGACTAAGATGGACTTCAGTGGGCCCCACACTTCTCTGCCCCAGCCTCACCAACACAGAACAGAAATGTGCCAGGTTTGTGTAGAGGCCTAGGCCCACCCTCTGCCACCAACACAATCCTTGTTCAGCTGAACTCAGGGGCATGGAATCCCACAGCCTCCAGGACACGGCAGAACATAAGCCTCCCTGCTCTAAATAAGGTTTGTGATTACTTTCTCCTACATATGAGCTTCATAAAGTCAACCAATCTAAAATAGTATAGCTAGTATTTGCTGTCTACTACATGCCCAACATTCTGTTCAGCACTTTGCATAGCTTATTAGCTTCGATGTTTACATTTTTTAAAATAAAAGATTTATTTATCTGTGGAACATATTTAACACATCTTCAGTTTCAAAATAAGCTTTGATTAAGTCACTGTGACCTGTTGTAATTTAGTTTCAACACAATCCTGTGCCTCCTACTGGCTGCCTCCCTTCCCTGACTCAGGTGCCTACTCACTGGCATTTGGGGATTTGCCTTCTGAAAATCTACTGAGGAGCTAGATGAAAAGTTAGCACTGGTGCATGGTAGGACATAATGAACCTTAAGAGTACCATGTTCAAAATTTTTAAAAAGACAATATAGTTTATAATTTCATTTGTATGAAATGGTCAGGAGAAGTACAGCTGGGAGAATAGGCAAGGGAGACCTCTGTCAGGAATAGGCAAAAGAACATGAAAAGAGAGGGCTACTGGAGTGAGGGTTTCTTTCTTTCTTTTTTTTTTTTCAGGATATTTGATAGAATTTAATCATGTAGGAGGAAGGTGTTTGTACTTGGGGAAAGCACTAAGGTGTCGATAATGTTGACCTTTTTGAGCTACCTTTTGAGAATGCTATATTAACTTCATTAACTTTTATTTTTTTAATAATTTTATTGAGAAACAAATAGCAATGAGACAGTTTCAAATCCAATTAGTAGGACAGTTTCAATAATTAATACACTGCATAATGTTGTTTTAGTGGTTATTCATTGTACAAGATGCAGACATAATATCCTGTCCACACACACTATTAGAACAACTCTTTGTGTTCATTGAATTAAGAGAATGTAGCTGTACATCTATCCTATTTTGAATATACAGATACAAAATGGTCCTTCATTTGTATCCCCTTTTTTTGTTTAGTTTTGTCAGAGAAAGGTATTCCATTGTCATTTAAATATCATAGGTGCATGAATTCAGCAAAATATTCCAATATAGTCCAGTAGTCCATAACAGTAGTGGGTTTTCCATAAGACTGGCAATGTTGGAAGTTGTTGATTTGAGCCTTTTACAACTCAGCATATTAATACAGCTTTACTTTTTATACTTCATTTTTACATTTTTCTGCTGGATTGTTAAGACCAAGATAAAACAAGAGCTAAATAACAAGAAATGTAGCTTTTGTATCTGATAAGGTCAGTCAAATCCCCTCAGGATTTATCCTGAAATCCTGTACCACAGTTTGTAGATCCTTTGTGAGTGTCAGCCATGTGGATGAGTTACAGTCATTGCTTGACCAATTCGCTTTCTGTGAAAGCCTGAGAGAATGTTTTCTCTCCATGTGACTCTCCTTAGGCACACTCTTCATCACTGATCACTTTCTTCTGTGGCCCCATAATCTCCTTGATCAGAAAATTTGGGACACGACTGAGTTACATGATGTTACAGTACAGGTTCTCCTATGTCCTGAGTTTTCACTCACCTTGAAAGGCTAGGGCCAAAATATTGGCTGCCCTTGCAGCCCTCCTTTTTCTCTAATTTTTGGTCTGCAAATTTAGGTTATTAACCCTCCAGAAGAGAAGCTTATTGTTATTACCCTACAACCTAGACAGTTGAGCTTAATCAGTGAGGGTTTCATTTTAAGGGAAGAAAATGTGCTAATTTACACTGGTGAAAACATGCTGAGTCAAAAATCATAAATTCTGTCTAGAAAGGAAAATAAAGCTTTAATTAAAATAGATCTCTTGATGATAATTTCCTATAATCATATTTTCTATCCTAACTAGTTGAACTTCTGTGTGAATATCCTATTTGTGAATGCAAATTTTCTTACAAAGTTTATATTAGTAGCATGTTGTGCCTAACTTTCATGATTTTCTTTTTTTACTACTGTATATCAATGATGTTCTCATTACTCCATTTATGAGGACTCCACTAATTCATTTCCTCAGGTAAAATTCCAGGAGGTGAGCCTGGCATGGGGGTGCATGCCTATAATGCTACACTTCAGGAAACTGAGGCAAAATGAACGCAGACCAGGCAACTGAGCAACTTAATGAGAGGCTGCCTTTAAATGAATGAGTATATAAATATGGGTGAATGAATGAATCAATTAATCAGTAAATGGATAGGGTGATAAAGTTCAGTATAAATGACCTTGGTTCAATTCCCAGTACACACACACACACACACACACACACACACACACACACACATCCCAGGAGATGGATTGGTGCCAAATAACATGTACATTTTATACTATTGCGATAGAAATTTTCATATATTTTAGAACAAAGTTTTCTATTTATGCTCCAACCAATTAATTAATAACAGTGCTTTTATGCTCCAATTTTGTACATTACTGTTAGAAAGTTTTTTCTGTTAACATTGAGTTAGCTCATAAAAAACAGAATCTTACTGCATTTTTAGTTTTATTTACTGATTAGTAACAAAGATAGACAGTTCTAGACTGGTAATTTTTCTTTTTTATGAATTTCCTATTTGTGTTGTTCATCATGATTTTATTTTATTATTTTTCTCTGCAATAGGCACAACTGTCAGCAAAGATATCACTTCCCTTCTTCAAGCCCTCAGGATCATGAAGGTCTGCCTGCCTTGGTTCTCATACCCGGCCTTGCCTCTTCAGGGGTGTGAACCGAAGCCCTGCCCTGTCCTGTGCCACTGATCACCTCAGGAAGCGCTCACTTCACCTGCCCTCCATGCTGGCTCTTGGGATTCGCAAGTCACTTCTCCAAAGCTTTCCTCTGTCAAGTGCACACAGAACACAGCAGCTTGAAGGCAGCCAGCCGCCCACTGCAGGTGCAATGGAACCATTCTTCCCCCAAATGTTGCAGATTAGTTAACAGCAAACAGAACTGTGACTATCAAGGAAAATTATTATTCTGGGCTTCTTTTTGACTGCAGCAATATCATGATTTTAATTTATGAAGATTAGAAGGTTTTTGGAGGACAGGAATATATTTTACTCCCACTGGAGTTCATTTCCATCCATGTTACACTCGGGTCTAACCAATGATAGGGCTTGTTAAGTATCTGAAGAGTGCATGGATGATAACCCACCATTGTGTTTTTTACTATGACTAATAGAAAAGAATCAAATTAATTTTCCATTTGTATGTGCTGCATAGCAAATCCATTTTTCTCCACAAAAGTTATTTTTCCCCCTCCAGAGGAAATTTCTTAACTTCTTTTCAACAATAACACCATTTATAGGCTGAATGGATGAATGCAAGATTGGACAGATTCAGCTATTTTCATGTTCTTTTTTTTCTAAGCAACTAACAGATTTTTCTATTCTTACAAGCTATTTTGGAGTACTCAGACACAAATAGGGATTTATTATCTCATTTCATTATAGAAAATGAAAGCACTAAAATAAAACATCTCAAAGATTCATAATTTCTGAGAATATTCTACAAACTTCTTTTTTTCTGGATCACATTCTACAACTGAGCCCTGAAAGAGGGCAATAGTTCAACTTTTTTGAGCTAAATCATGTTTATATTGACCTGTGATTTTTTTTCTGAACGTGTTATTTCCAGTAGAACTTTTATTATGTTTGGATCTGGACACACAAAGGTGACATTATAGATGTGACGCTTTTTCTACACTGTGTGCTTGAACATAGGTGCATAGGTATGTGGTATGGGTATATAGAGACATATGCCATACAAACAAGGACATTCCCACACACTGTTTTCCTTGTCAACGTTTCTCAAGGGCTCCATGCTATACAGAGGAAGTAGGAGCCATGATTTTCAGAGGCAGCTCTTAGTATCACACAGAGCAGCATACTCTATTATGTCCATCATGGAAAATCCATTCCTTACTCCACACCTCATGTGGGTTCATGCTCTAACGTTTTTCCCCTCAGAGAAAACTAGTGTCCTTTTCATAACCCACATACCATATTTTCTCCCCAAGTCACTTTTGATGTGCTTTGGTTCTGACCTGACATCTTCCCATTTTCCAGAAGGCCCAGCCTTCTCAGCTTCTAAGAGAGCTCCAAAGTCAGGTCAGCTAGATGTTTCCTTGGTTTTGCTGTAGAAGCATTTTCTCTGAATTATCCTGTTTCTTCCTTTCTGGTGGTATGTTTTTCAATCTATAACCTGTCCTGAGCCCCCCTAAGGCTGGGAGTTGGCAGAGTTAGTAGGTCAGGCCTTCAGTCAGGCACATTTGAAACCACTCACCAAAAAGCCATAGTAGTGGAGTCTACTTTGTACCAGGAAATTTGAAAATGTTCCTGGTGATTTAGTGAGCAGGAACCACGGATGTTAAGTCATTGAAATAGATGAGAGTCTCATACAAAAGGAGAATCTTACCCTGTTAAAATTATACCACTCCTGAAAATCACTTAACTACAGGAAGAAATTAATTTCCTGAAAGGAAAGGTTGAGATCATAGAAATCAACTGGACACAACTGAAGGAAAAAATGAGAAGTTAGGGCCAAGAGAGACAAAGAGGAAATACCATATTCTCAAATCTAATTATCCAGAAAAGGAGATGTTTTGTTGTTATGAGAGGAAATACAGTGCTAGAAATACAAAGAAATCTTTGATAGAATGAGAGGAGAAATAGGAGTCTACAGAATCACTTCTGCAAACGTTGCCAATGACCAGGATCCAAAAGGCAGGTGAGAGGCAACTTCCGAAAGCTAAGTGGAAAATCCATACTCTAAGCAATTGAACACCCAGTACTCTGATAGGTTGTCAGAGTAAGTGACAATAAGTCTGGGCAAGCTTGGTTCAGTGGTCCACAGCTACTCAGGGGACTGAGACAGAAGGATCATCAGTTCAAAGCCAGCCTGGTTATTTTTTTTTTAATTTTAGGGAGGAGTCTACAGGGTGTTCAGGGTCTCACTACTAAATCAGACTTGTAGTGATCCACCTATTTACAGCCTCCCAAGATCTGAGATTACAGATGCATGCCACCACACCCAGTCTCAATTGACATCTCAGTTCACCTCTGGGGCAGGGCCAGCACTACAGGCCCAGGGATCGAACCCCCACCCCCTGTGCCTGCTTGCAGGCACTTTAATCCACTGAGCTATTTGGCCTGCCCTAGCCTGGGTATTTTAATAGGCTCTTGTCTCAAAATTTAAAAAAAATGGCTGGAATATTGCTCAGTGGTAGTATACCTACTTACCATACACAAGGTTCTGGGTTGAACCACCATTTTAAAAAGAAAAAAGATCTTGACAGGTTGGAGAGGAGAAGACCAAGAAGACTGGCAGAAAATACAGCACTGGGAGAAATAAAAGGAAAGTATCAGTGTGACAGCTTTGGGTGAGCATGGATATCATACCTGAACTCTGGTGGAACATTCTAGTGGTATATCTTTCTAAAGGACAGCAGTGATCAGCCACAACACAGGGCGATAGAGAAAACTAAACAGTGCGAGTCCTAGTTTGACAGGAATTCTTAGCTGAGTAGGATTGTTCCCACTAGTGACAAGCTGTTTTAAACCCCTGTTATGATTGGGTCTCTGACATTTAAAGCTAAAGTCAGAGCCAAAGAGTATGTAATATCAAGTCCAGAACTGACCTGGAACCATGTGTTGAAATGAACCCTTAGGAGATTATAGATGAGTCTCTTGAGTCGAAAGAGACTATTCAACCTTGGCAAGTTATTTAAAGCATGTACCTGGATTGGAACAAAGATTTAAAGCTAGAAACATGCATACACTAAAGTTTACAAGGAATTAACACGAATTGGTAGTCTAGGGTTGCACACCTAACTACAGAACAGAAAAAGTAGGATGTGCATATTCCTAACATCTACAAAGCCTGTGTATGAAAAGATACATGTTCCCTATAATTGAGGTCTTGCCCTACCTAGTTTACTGAGGTTTCTTTGAGGTCAACTTTTGTCAGTTGTCCACCCCTTTGGCCCCTAGTATGTAAGTCCAGTGCCTGAAGTCCTTTCTATACAATAGCATTTAACTCAGGTATAATCCTCTCCTAAGCAGGAGCAAAGGGCACATGGTCGGAATTCCAAGTGCAGTAAAGTTTAGGGTCACTCATTCAGACTATAGTGGGTAAAAGCTAACTTCACACACAAAAAAGTGTGGTCAACCTTTAAGTTTAAAAACAAAAGTAAAACTCAAGCACAGATTCATGAATCCCTCAAGTTGCTAGAAGTCTGTTTCATTTTTTTTCTTTTTAGTCTTTGTTTACTGTCTAAATTTTATTCATTTTCTCTCGGTGTTCCTGATCAGTGGTCCAAATGTCTACTATTCACACTGTCCTGGAGTATCTGGTTTCCTCATGCTCTTTCAGCATGGCCCATCTGGTCTCCAGATCAGAAATTCATTTTTTAAAAAGTTGTTTTCATGGGGCCAGGAAGATGGCTCATTGGAATAAGTGCTTCCCTGGCAAGCGCAAGGGCCTGAGTTCAATCCCCGGTTCCGCCAAAAAATTTTTTTCTTCAATTATTTATTTGTTTATTTGGTACAGGGTCTCACTACACAGCTCGGACTCAGAGTCATTGTTCTGTCTCAGCCTACCCAGAGTTGGGATTATAGGCATGCTCCACTATGCCTGGTTTCAGTGGCTGGCTCAGCACAGGGCTGGCATGGCATGCAGTACTGGGAATTGAATCCGGGTCCTTGAGTGTGCCAGGCAGGTGCTTAGTCCGCCAAGCTATCTCCCTGGCACTCAACTTCTTAATCGAAGGGTAAACACTACAAATGTATTTTTTTTCCTGAAGCTTCCCTGTATTATTTCCCAAAGCTGCTTCAAAAATGTAATACAAATTGGGTGGAATATGACAGCAAGGATGTGTGGTGTAGTGGTTCTGAAGGTTCCGATGCCCCCGATCAAAGAACCAGCCACGTAATACTCCCCCCAAAACTTGTAAAGGAAAACACTGCCTGGCTTCTGCCTGGCTTCTACAAGTCCTTGGCAGTCTGTGGTATCTCTTGGCTTGCAAAGATCACTCAGTGGCTGCCTGCCTTGTCACATAGCCATCGACCTGGTAAGTTTTCACGTTGTTTTCCTGTGTGTGTGTCAGTGTGCAAATATCCCTTTTTTTTTAATAAGAACTCCATTTACCTATACTGGGTTGGAAGCCCATTCTATTCTAACTTGGTGTTGTGACTAACTACATTTGCCTCAGTCTTATTTCTATATAAAGTCACGCTCTGCGGCAATGGGGACAGGACTTAATCATATATATTGTGAGGAATGGATTAAATCCATACTTCCTCCTCCCTTCAATTAATTTCCTCATGTGTACTAATCTATTACTTTGGTCCCTTCCTCTTGTGTAAACTGGTTTTTCTTTCTGATCAGATTAGATCTACCTTTGCCAGTCCACTCTTTCTGTTTGCTCTGAGGAGCTGGTCCATTCACCTACACCCAGGGTGGTGCAGTCATCTATCATCCCAGCCTTATGCCCACATGTCCGTGTGACCTTTTTCTTTTAAAATTAGCACAGTTACTCCCACTAAGCCTCCTTTTATCTATAGCTACATCTCTTTCCATCTCTTACCTATTCCATCACAGTAAGTTTACACCTGAATATGCCATTATTAATGCTTCTATCACCAGCATTAATCGTCAGTGTTCTGTTTTCATAAAGAATTGGCATTTCCCCCCTTTGACATGAGCCTTTTTTTTTTTTTTTTTCAGAACCAGGGATTGAGTTTAGGCCCTTGCGCTTGCTATGGAAGTGCTTATTCCACTGAGCCATCTCCCCAGCATGAGCCATTTTATATATGAAGGCAACTGAACATCAGAATGAGTCGAGATGTCAAGACTGAAGCGTTGGCATAGAATGTCACTAGTCACTGTATACTTTCCTATCAGCCTGACAGTGTTTCTGCTAATGTTTGCAACTTAGAAGAGTCACGACTATTGTGACTTGGATGTTTAAAATTGTTGATAAATTATAATAGCAGAGAATGTCAGATATATCACATTATAATTAATTATTTAGTCACACATATTAACCTT